GCTGGGTAAGCACTTGGCTCTCTTTCCCGAAGAGATTCTACGCGATATATATATATAGAGAATAAATTTCCGTCGATGTTATGGCCTATTAATGCCTTTTTTTTTTTTTTTTTGTAAACAAACAAATGGCGCGGCTATTTAATGAATGAGTGAATTACAACTAACAAATATGAACGATATAATATAATTGCTTATTTACTCACGCAGATTGACTTGATAGAGTATCCTGCTTTGAAAGACGTTATTGTGTTGCAGACTGTGTATGAGGAGTTAAGACATTTGAATCTGACGATCTATAACAGACTGAAAAAAGTTATTGAAGACCGACAACGCCGGTTTTATGTATTTTCCAATGAACATCGTCGGTTAGTCAGTTGCTTGTGAATTTTATCAATTCTTTTCCGCTCTCTAATAATACGCCATCGGGTGTATAGCGAAACTTACGTAGAACGGCTGAAAGAAGAATCTCCTAATGACAGAAATGATAGAGGTTAGCATAGTATTCTTCATTATTGATATGTAATCGTTTATACTGAGAAAGCTTAATGTTATCGCATAGCTATACGAGAGGCCGTTAAATGGTATACAAGTCATCTTCAAGAATCACCCACAAATGATCATAAAGTCGTACTTCTATCTGACGACGTTGCTAACCGAAAGAAGGCGATATCAGAAGGCTTACTAGCGTTTCCTGGTATTCATGAGTTGTGACTTTATTATATTATTTTCTTTTTGGTGAACAGTTCGCTTTTTTAATACAAATATACCGTTTCACGAAACAGTTGAAAAATACGTTGAATCGATTACAGAAACGCCAGAACTAGTTAATATGCTCAGAAAAATGTCTGTCTCTGATGATTCTGAAAACAAGTTCACATATGATGAGGTAATTCTTGGCTTCGGCGGGGAGCAGAATCGATTAATGTGTTTCCATAACATTCACTTTGAAATAGTATCTCAGCCCTGCGCAGATTGCGAACGGACTAAAGGATGGTACCTTATACCAAGGAACTCTCAGTATCAGTATGCACAATTATCTGGAGGTAATGGAGATATCACAGCATTTAGATGTCACTTCCGTTAATTGTATAGTAATTATTCGTATTTTGTTAGGGCTCTATTACTCCAGTAATTGATGGACAGGAAAACCAGATTATGATAATAGGTCGTCCTAGGATGAATCGTGCCATCCAAGGGGATGTGGTTGCTGTCCAGCTGCTTTCCAAATCAGAATGGCTCAGAACGCCATCAGCTGTAATTGTAGAAGAAGGTAGCGAGATACACATTATCGATATCTTGCGTAATTACCTTTTTAACGGAGAAATTTGCTCCTATAACATATGATTTATGTAGACGAGGAAAGCGCTATTCTTCAGGATTTAAACGAAGCTGAGATCTCTCTCGACCAGACTAGTAAGGATCCCGAGTCTTCTGGAGAGCTCCAGCCAACTGGTAGGGTAGTTGGTATAATTAGACGAAATTGGAGATTGTATCCTTAACACTGAATTGCAAATTTTGCTGTTGTTGCTGTTGTCATTCCTTTCTGAGATTGTTCTTGACTGAAAGTCGTTGAACAGATATTGTGGCTTCATTAACAAGAAAACAACCGATAGCTCAGGCCAAGCTAGGTCAGAACATGTGACCGTTATTCCGATGGATAGACGAATTCCAAAGATCAGAATGGTAACTCGACAAGCTCGAAATCTTCTGGGACAGCGTATCTTAGTAGCCATTGACTCGTGGCCAAAACATTGCATGTAAGAGGCATGTTATTATTAAAACGTATATGAAAGTAAGGTACTGATTAAATTTCGTGTCAAGGCTCCCACAAGGTCATTTTAAACGAATTTTAGGTCCAGCTGGGGACAAAACAACCGAGACTGAGGTGTTACTTCTCGAGCACGATGTTCCTTTTCAAGATTTTTCAAAACAGGTGTTGTCTTGTCTGCCTTTTGAAGGGGAATCATGGAAAGTAACAAATGAGTATCTGTCTAGGACAAACTTCACACATTTGAATGTTTCAAGTATTGACCCGCCTGGTAAATGTATTTCATATTCTTTGTTTTGAACATAAGTCTTGCATACTCAGATTTGTCGTGTTTGTAAAGGCTGCGAGGACATCGATGATGCCTTGCACGTGCGTATCCTTCCAAATGGGAATTATGAAGTTGGTGTCCGTAAGTGTGAACATTTTTATTACATCGGTACGAGCTGGAGAACGTTATTCTGATATTTTCCATACAGATATTGCGGATGTTACACACTTTGTGAAGCCTGGTACACCATTAGATGAAGAGGCAGCGATTCGGGGAACGACTGTTTATCTAGTCAATAAACGTGTGGATATGTTGCCAGCCTTGCTTGGAAACAGTAAGTTTCGTACAAAAGTCGCTTGTAAAACATGAGCCGTATTGAAGCAATGAAATTTATTTAGATTTGTGTTCTCTTCGAGCGGATGTTGAGAGATTAGCATTTTCGTGTGTTTGGGTAAGTTTATCTATGCCTTAAGATCTTTTTTTCCCCAACGATCAGTGACTAGACTATATTTATATTATGAAGGAGTTAAATGATGATGCGGACGTTGTTAAGACTCAATTCACAAAAAGCGTGATAATTTCAAAAGCTGCATTGACATACGAGGAGGCTCAGCGGCGAATTGATGATTTGTAAGATTCATTTAATTTATTCGTCTACGGGAATTAAACATAATAACTGTATAATTCAATTTCTTTGTGATTTTAGGCACATGGAAGACGATTTGACCAAAGGCTTGCGGATACTAAATCAACTTGCCAAGAAACTTCGGGAAAAACGTATCGAACGAGGGGCTTTGACTCTTGCCAGTCCAGAGGTCCGATTCCAATTAGAGAATGGCTCACAAGATCCTGTTGACGTTGGTATCCTTTATTGTGAAAGTATGTTGCTTTATAGTTTTACAAGTATCCTTAGCAGCGGAAGAAATGAAGGAATTACACGAAACCAATGCGCTAGTAGAAGAGTTTATGTTACTGGCCAATATATCCGTTGCCGAGGAAATTTTTAGAAAGTTTCCAGAATCATCTTTACTGAGGTAAACAATTTGAAAATTTTCGCTTGACATGTTTTTACGTACAAGTTAATGTACTGTAAATCGTTATAACTGTAAACCAGGAAACATCCTCCTCCGACTTCATCGAAATTAGAAAAGTTGTCGAAAACTATAAATGAATTCGGATTAACACTTCGTTATGATTCCTCAAGAACTCTTGCAGAATCCTTGGATAAAGCCGTCGTAAGTTTTCCTGGGCAGTTGACCATAAGTATTTTGAGATTGTACATTCATAACTAGCATACTTTGACTACAGATTCCGGAAGAACCTTATTTCAACAAGCTCTTAAGGATTCTCACTACTCGATGTATGATGCAAGCAGCATATTTTTGTTCCGGCAGTATACCTCAGAAGGAGTTTGTACACTATGGTCTTGCTACTCAAATATATACTCATTTTACATCTCCTATTAGGAGATACTCGGGTAGGTATGATTAAGCTATTTGCTTTTCCTCTTGAACTTTATTTACTTATTATCACATTTCGTACACAGATATTATGGTTCATAGACTGTTAGAGGCATGTATTGATGAGAACTTATCGTACGGAAGTGAATTAACGGACATTAAAAAGATTACTCAATTATGTGAAGGTAAACTAACTAATATATTATGTGCTAGCTTGATAGAGCTATATGAACAAAAAAATTTTAACATGAGTGATAAGGAACAAGAAAACATGGATATTACTGGTTTTGAAGGTCTCTTATTCTTATGATGTTACAAGATCCCAGCTCATTCATTTTCACACTATTGCAATAGTTTTGAATTATCGCCACAGGATGGCTCAACAGGCCGCTCGAAGTTCGGTAGAGTTGCATACACACTTGTTTTTTAAAAATAAGAAAGAAAAAAACGAGGGTTTTGTCACACGCACATTGAAGAATGGATTTATTGCTTTAATTCCACGGTCAGTACTAATGATATTTCCATCAAGATTTAAGCGACTCCAACTGAAAATACTCTTAAATTTACTAGTTATGGAATAGAGAGTATTGTTTTAGCTACTCAAAAATCAGGCATGACCCCTCCAGTTGTGTACAATACACGCACAAATAGTCTTGATTCAACGTCTAGCTCAACAAAAATCAAGTTATTTGACAAAGTCTTGGTTCAAATAAGTGTAAATGAAGACCTTATCGGAGAAGGTGCAGGAGGCATGAGACAGAAACTGAAAATAGAGCTGGTTGAACCTTTTATATCCGGTTTTAGCGTGTCGGTGAGCGAGGAAAATAATAGTATAAGAAAATCTGATGAAGAGATTGGTATTCAAGTAAAACGAATGAAGATGGACTAGGTCCTGATCACTCACTTGAACAATATATTTTGACGTGTTACAATGATAAAGATAAATTGAATCTAACATGGACGAAATATCACGCGAGTAGAATATATTACTATAAGGTCTCCTACAAGAAAAAACGCATCTTTGTCGAGGGTGGTAGGTCACAGCGTCAGGTTGCCCTGACTCAGCAGTTTGAGCAGGATGTTTCTCGCCCCGTTATGATCCCTGTCCATCCTTAATCCGCAATTCCCGCATCGAAAGATCTTGCATTCCTCGGAGTATTCGTCCAGGTACTCCGACATCTTATGCTTTAAATATAAAGGAGAAACCTATTAGCAGCAGCACCATTGACAGATCAACATGTCTAATACCCTATCGCTATTACACAGTTATTAAATGCTATATTTCGCAAGAAAACTAAAAATGTTGAACATGACATCACACTGCCATTGTGATAACAAGTAAATGTTGACTTCAAACTATGACTTCAAAGGATTGCGTAATGACAAAAGCACCCCAATCCCTACAATATTAATATAATGTCACAGAATATTTCCGATAAATAATATACCGAAAATATCCACTACAACTGGGAGATAATAATATTTCCTATAAAATTTGAACATTAATTTACGGTATATCAATATGTAAAGGGATAAAAGCTTCGTCATATTTAATGGGTTGACACGGAAGAAACTGATACGGTTCGGAAGTAATGTCCTCGAGATTTGATGGAAGTGGTATGGTATGATCTAAATAAGCAATATCATTAGAAGTTAACGAAGGGTTCAATGGTATCGGTATATACCTGAGTATCGCACCAATCGCATCTCCCCGTCTTCATTCTTAAAAAGTGCTGTCATTTGTACTTCATTGAACTCTAGATTGTGCCAAAAAACAGCACAGTTCAAGCCAGCTATCACTTGACCTTGTAAAATAAACGACCCAGATGTTAAACACCGGCGATAAGCATCTAGCGTAATCCAGAACACGTGCATAGTGCTCCCCTGTAGTAGTGGCTGGGGTGACCGGAAGATTTACCGGAGGCCCGTGGTGCGTACATTCTCACGAAATTACTTTGATTGTCTGCGGTACGATCCACAAAGTAGTACTGATAGCGTTCTTCTTGATATATAACACCATTGACTTTGAACTCTTTTCTTTTTTATAGAGGCTCGTGATTCTAGTCATACAAAACAAGCATGAGCATGGAAACGTCAAATTTCCAGAGTTTGTTTCAGTATACTTACGCGTAGGTTCACGTTTTCTTTTATTTCGAGTTCTAATAGTAAAGCAAGATGAAAAAAGCAAGTTAGTGGTGATAAATTTAATTTGCACGTTGGAGGCGCATGCACCAAGTGAGAATAATGAGGTGGTGGGCAGACTGCAACGGAGCAATGCACAACGTTAATAGAAAGGCATTATTTAAAGTTGTCCCCAATGCCGGTCAAAGTATCTGCCGGAACGGTTGCCAACAGCGCATTCTCCAACTTGGCCACTTGCGCCTGACGCGCCACCACTTGATTTCGTCTTTGTCCAGCTTGCTTTCCGCCCCTTTTAGATACTGTCGTTGCATGGGGAAATTTAATCACGTGGTGAATGACATATTATTGGGATTACACAAATTATGCTATTGCAGTATTAATAATTGATGCGCGCTTGTATTAACATGACGAATAAACAAGTAGTTTACTATATTAATATCAGGACCAGTTTACTCATATTTAGAATGATCGCACACATAATGACTATCGTATTAATATCATGCCTTCAAGTTGATTTTACTTGAATTACAATATGCTTAATATAGGATTATTTCTATATAAAATAAAATATATGAAACTAATTTACATCAAATCCACTATGGAACCAAAGAATTACGGCACCATTAGAAGTATTTTAAAGAAAGCTCAAGGAGAAAAAATTGCTCCATGTGTTTTTAAAATCAATGATACCAAAACTCTCGGGGAATATCTAGATAAAAAAACCACTTATTATTATTATTGTTGTTGTTCGGACCCATTCTAGGATTTGGCCCATTTCGATTTCCGATTATCACACACTGGGTACACCAGCGATGATGCTTCTTTTAATAACATAATTAAAGTAGTTTATCTTGAA